TTTCTCGTCTGCATTCTTACATCAACCGTTAATTCATGTGTCTGTCTAATGTCTTGTAGCGTTGTCTGCATGGTCTGTCCGCCTGTGTGCCTGTCAAAATTTCATTATTCGGACCTCTAATTTTATTGGTAATAACATCAAGACAAATCCAAATATTCAAATCGCAGACGTAGACATAATCATTCATTAATTTCTTATGAATTTAGAAAATCGCAATCAAGGCGCATTTGAGTCTGGTAATTTCGTGAGTTCTTCAACGAGACTGTGCCAGGTGTAAAGATCTTTTTAAATAATGGCACAGTAGAGAAATTATTGTGAACACCTTTCTTAACATTAAACTCCCGTACAATGCCATACAATACCGTGGCTACTCTCAATTTTAAAATATGCATATTGAGATTATCAGTGTTAACCTGTATCTGTGCATAACTTATCAAATCCACTTTACATTGCTGTGCCACATAACCATGAGTAGCCGTTACTTCTCTTTCTCTCGAAATTAGCATGAATAATGAACACGTTTCATAAAATGTACTTACCGTCTTCTTCCACGTGAACCTCATGATAAATTTTCCATTTTCAAATGTATTCTGGAAATTCTAGAATTCACTCTAACAAATACTCACCACTTGTTATTTGTCTTTTAAATTGTGTTTTAATTGCCATTATTTAATTATTATTATTTAACATTTGGTTATTGCGAGTGTTTGATACGCGGCCGGTAATTACAGGGCTCAGGGAGACGATGAATAAAAATCCTTGGTGGAAACAACAATTCTCCATCCCCCATTTATCGCTCTGTCATTATCAATTGATTATTTACTACGATTTGATTATTGGTTTTTTTTTTTATACACTTTATTATCGAAGCACATTATCTTACAATCTGAGATTAAGTTATGTAATGATTTAAATAATTATGTAATTCTTATGAGTGTTCACTCAAAATTGTATTTTTAATAATTTTGGATATAAGATGAAACATGAAAATGGTGATGGCTTATATTTCAATATAATTTTATCTGTTCGATGAGTTCCATTCACCGATACAATTTTATTGCTCCTGGAAAAATAATTCAATTATCCGTATCTCTCAGGAAAATCGAGTTATTATTCAATGTTAATTAACACTGACACTTACACGGACACACGTGCGTCTCGATTATCGTAATAAACTTTAAACTATTATCATTATTCTTCTTGATAGGCATAGCCCTTGATGCGCGTTCTCATTTCCAGGCCTAAAAAGTTTAGTACTTTGGTGGGTGGGTTTATTCAACTTTGAATGAAAACACCTGCATTGCCGAGTTGGAATCGTTCCATTTAGAATGCAAGCCAAAAGACAAAAGAATTACATGCATACGAAAGGAAATTCGTAGCACGTTGTCAAGGTCTTTTTCACTAAAAATTCGTAAAAAACTTGCATTGATGGTGAATTCAGAGGAAGTGGAAACGCATCGAAGTGGTCGGCCAAAAAATATTATTAAGAAATAAAAATTAAGAGAATTAACTGAAAAGTTAATGAATAAATACGGGAGAATCTCGTCCTCGATTGAAACTCATTTCCTGGAGCTAAGCATTATTGTTTAAATGCTGAAGAAAGGAATGTACTTATCGCTTTTGTGAAAATTGCTAATTGGTTGTTTTGTCTTTATGGCGGCACACTCGGCGACTTAGGAGTATTTGAGAAATAATTTTTCCTCATTTTTTTTTTCTCATTTTAACTGAATAATTCGAAAATGGTTTAATATTGGGGACGAGATGCTATTTTTTTTTTTTGAGATAAAAGAAAAATAATGGGTGAGTTTTAATATAAGTAGACGACAGTTGTATTGTCGGGGATTTTCATTAAAAATATAAAAACAATTCGCCGATTAACTCTTTTTCATTAGCAATTGATGAAGCGCCTCAATTTGTCGGCGATTTTATTAATCAATTGCTTATAATATGTATAGTGTATGAAAGATAAATCGATCATTTTAACTAAGCGTTATTAATCCAAATATTTACTACTGCCACTGTTACGTTAATGTCCGAGGGCGAAAGGCGCTAAAATCACTCATTATAAGAAAGAAAAAAAAAAGAATGTGAGAGGAAATATATCATATACATATGCATGAGTTGAATGGCCAACACGGGGAAATTTTTTAGGAAATTTTCATGTGTCCGTGCCATAAGAAAGAAAGATGGCATATTTTATGATCTATCACTGATCAATATTGATGATCTTTCGAGTGATTGTTTAGTCAAAATATTTTCAATGAAATCATGAAATTTAATAATTCCGGGGTTTATAATCAAAACAGACGAATACGACGAATTATTTCTATTTATGATTATAAAAATGTATAAAAAGTGGAAAAAAAAATGAATTCTTGCATTGCTTCTTCAAAACACAAAACAATGTAGACATCCATGTATATATTTGATATAAGTTTTATCCTTAATCTTGTTTCATTATTTTTTGTCCTTTATTTTGTTTTTCAACTGCATAATTAAAGTGGGAACTACTTGAATCTGGTTCACAAATTTTTATTAGTAAATTGTTCACATGAGCGGCACAAAGTTGACGAACCGACGAACTGAAAAAAAATTCAATGGAATAGGATATTGTAGAATTTATAATATTACTCAGAACAGAGAGAAAAGTTGAAAAAATAAAATTGCAATAACGGGGAGGGATGGTATATCCGGAATTAACGTCTAACATAGAACATGCTATGATGTACTCTGGCTTTCACAGTGCACTGTGCACAGTTAACGAAGCTTTTGCAAACTCAATTACCGTGTGTCATTCCTCGGTTTTGACCTTTCTACTTTTACACGCAAAAAAATAATAAAAAAAAAACAATAATGTCAAAAGAGAGTACCAACGCCAAGAACAAACGAAGTGAAAATCTCATTGAGGTATACCCGACGCGAATACCATGTGAAAATATTTACTCATACCAGTTAACAAAAAAAAAAACCAAAGAAATAAAAATAAATTTAAAAGTTAGACAGGCGCGTTCGTCATTCTTTTGCCGCCGCCGAACAATTGATCTGTTCCAAACCGTATAGTAAAAAATAAATACAGAAAAAAGGATAACACATCTAGCTGTAATATAACGAAGGAGTCCCTAGATTGTTATTGAACTAGTAAATACCTAGGCCACTATTCATTTGAATTAGGAATTAAACAGTAAGACGTTATTGTGATGTTATAATGGGAAGAACTTGAAGAATAGAACGGAATATGAAAGGAACACTGGAAGACGAATAGACAAAATCAATGATTATGTATATATGCGATTAAAGCAGAAATGTTTCGAAGATGACTGGACTGATTTTGACACTGAGCTGGGCTCATACCTGATCAACTCGAACTTTATCCCTTCACTCTTCCGGGCATGAATAATTACAGAAAAATATAATGTAAGGAGAGGAAGAAAATTGATGACGTGACGTTATGGTAAAGTACGACAAATAATAATATGAATCATCAATTAACCATAATCAATCTTTCTCGTCACCCTCAATCTTCTTACCATAGCACGAAAATTCGTGACCATTTAAAAAAATCGGGGACTGCTTTCACACTAAAAAATGAAGAAAAATAAAATCAGGTGACGCTGTTGAAGACCCTCACTATGAAATGGCCAATAATATTCCGGGAAAGGAAGAAGAGAGAAAGAGTAATTGGCGATTGATCGCCGTAATCTGGTGTTTTATACTATCTCATCGGCTATTGACGAAAAAAAAAACGCGTATGAAAATCCAAATGCCAAAACACCTGTTGGCTCTTTCTCCAATGTGTTAATTTACGATTATTTTATTCTATTCTTTTTCACGAAGATTTTTATTTTCTTCTTCTCACTTGTCTACTCAAATCATTCTCTAACGTCAATTCCCTTCACCAATTCCTGTTGTCGATTCCACAATCCACAAATCCATCAGTGATATTATCCACCTACTCTGACACTATTTCTCGCCTGAAAAATGTTCGAACGCTCTAACGGAATTAATACATCTCATTTTTGTTTCATCATATCTTATTGCTGTTGAGATTAATTGATCGTGATTGAAATAAATGAGTGAAATCGAAATTTTTTACATCAACTATAATCATACAACTATGATATTTGGCTGCTCGCTCGCTCGCTCGCTCGCCTCTTATTCTTACGTGGACACTCCCTTCTCTTTACACTTCACTCGACTCTCTTAAAGTTATATTATTCACCCTGTGTATCTTTCATACTATTACCTGAACGTGTATACATTCTCAAACTGAATCCAGCTTTGTATTACGTTGTACTGTTGTCCTTTACATACAATACAATCCCACGAGGCTATTTCTTGTTGAACATGTACGATACCGTTGGGAACATCTCCATTCCTTTGGGGATGTACAACGACAGTGTCGACTGGCAAGATGATACAGCTTTTTGCCACCCAGACTACTCTAGTTCAGGTCATTTATCCTTGGTAACTACGAGAAGTTCTTGGGTCGTCTGATCGATGGACACTGGATATTCTACCACCAAAAAAAAAACTGGCTCTACTAATCGTTCAAATTTTCTTATCATCTAATCATTCACTTTCCTGCATCGTATTTATCACGAAATCAATAACAACCAACTGTCTGTGTTGCAATTTTCATTCTTCACTCAACTCAAAATAACGACAAATGTCAAGTTCACGTCCATCTATCTGACGAGACGATTGATAGTACCTTTTTGCTAATAAGGAAAAATATATACTTGACCAATACCAAATACTGAAGTAGAACTTGAGAAGACAAATATAATAGCATAACGTAGATAATATACAGTGACCCTATATATAGTAAATACGTACAATATACTACACCGAAGATATAAGCTCTCGTCTTCTCCTTTGAACAATAAATATAGGATGTGCTCTTGCTCTTTCTCTTATTATTTTTTTTTTTAAACAATTCTATCACATTTTTTGCTCATGCCACCCTGTTGTAACCATTATATTACCCTTTACTCTTGAAGGTGATAGGTGGCGAGTTGCAGGAACGTTTGATACCGGTACCCTACAGCAAGAGCTCGACAGACCAAGCTGTAAGCGCTCCTCTCTTGCTCACTTCTCTTCTTTCTTGTATAAGACTTTTATTCTCAACATGTTTATGCTCTTGACTGTGACTCCTTGCTTCAATTTTTTTTTTCTTTCTAAAACCTTTTTCTATTTTCCATCAGAATAGCAACTGAAGCCCGGTTTTATATTGAAAGCAGCTGTTCAAGATGTTTTTATGATTTTATTAATTATTTTATTTCATCATTTCAGAGGTGACCAACTGATTATTATTTTGGCTTTCTATCTCCCAACTTTGTCATATCAATTCTATCCCATCTTCATTTATAACATCAATCTTTCTATTCTTCTTTGTGCTCTGTGTTTGTCATTGGTATTACGCTATTTTCTCACTTTTTTTTTTGGCTTTCTGCTTCTGTGTGTAGAAAAGATATCACGTTCAGACGTATCCCGCTTTCCATTACGCCTTTCGCTATCGAATTCTCTTTAATTTCGCTACAATTATCCAGTGCTCAATGAGATAAAATCATTGAAAAGTAGATTCACCTGATTTTGACAGGGATATAACATGTCAATGATTTGATCACTGGTAATCATTCCGTTGATATTTTAATTCACCATTCATCAGCTGCAATTTTTCACAATAGCAGAATCTGCGCTGTAGTTTAATATTTTCATAAAATTTTGATGCTCATGCAGGTGATACTCATAGAAATCTGAAAAACGATCAGTTTAATATTTCCGGGAAGCTTAAAATCCATCGCATTCGCCATATCCCATGCTTTCAGATAATTAACCGCAAATCCGCTGATTGATAATCACCCAATTTGGTGGATTTTAGTGCCTGTCACTTTATATTATTGTCCATAGTCAGTGTTTACTAAAGCAATGCAGCTTCCCTAATGATCACGATTGCATTCTCGTGGTCATATCACTGGGAATTAAAAAACATGATAATAGAAGTCGAAAGGGTTTAACTTTGTTTGATGATGAATAATCCCAAATGAAAAGCAGTCCTCGCAACGTTCGACATTTCTCATGATACCTATAAAAATATTTTGTTCTATTGAAAGCAACGAAAAAATAGTAGGATTATCGAAATGTTGGCCATCAGGAAGACAAGCATTAAATGAGCCAGACGGCTAAATGGTTTTTGGCAACAATTTTACGCGCCACCTTTGTCGAGTGTTATCGAATCTCTTGCCAGCTGATTATTCGCAAAAAAAAAAATTATAAAAAGTGATTCCAATACTCTTCGTGCATGGTACACAATTCTCTCGCTGTATATCCTGCCAGCTACGCCAAAAATACACCTATCCATCCGCCTTAAAAAAAAAACCAGCGAAAAGTTAATATCCTGTCCCCTTTCTCGGGATACGTTGGCAACGACACACATGACAAGACGCGTAAGTATATGCAGTATCAAAAAAAACAGGCATTTTGTCTTATTATTTCATTGGTGGCTGGGCGATCGCGGTGGTAGCCTCTTCATGTTTGATTCCATATTTTGTTAATTACCCAACATCCCACATGTCCTGTACGATATCTGTGATGCGAGCATTTGAATTTATCGTTCATTGTTTCTCTTTTTTTTCTACGTGTCCTCTATATTATTCTCATATGTACAGCCGACGATCATGATAAGGTGGTGATGGATATGACGGATGGTAAAAGGATCGCGAACGTTGATGTTAAAATCATTGCCCTGGGATCAACTCCGGTGATGCATGTACATGTAGAAATAGTTATGATGCTGATGGGAGAGTAAATGATATCGTGAAACGTTTGTGAAATAGCTGAAAAATGGCATTGAATATTATGATGATTGCTTTCTTTTTTTTTAAGAATAAATTACTCGCCTGTTGTATATAAAAATTTTATACTCTCCTTTAGGATATTTTATGTCTGTTGGAATGTGCAACATGCCTGGGAAAAATGAGCTTGCATTTATTTACAGCTGGTGACTCTGTCCGAGAGTGATGCTGTGGTTGCTTGCACTTGCTTTGAATTGCTTTAACAACAGATTTAATGCTTTTCAACCGTTAAACTCTGTAATGACGCTTTTTGGCACGAACGAGCAATTTACCGAGAGCCAAATCAGCTGTCGCACAGTCGTTTTGTTCATAATTAACGCAGCTGAGTCAACGCGGAAACTTCAATTGTGAAGTGGTAAAATAGAAGGAGTTGATATTCCTTGGAATATTAAATATCCCCCGCAGGAAAGAATCTGTCCTATCGTTCCTCACATTGACGATTTTTATATTTTCATTTCAATAAATCATGGTTCTCCTCTTTTTACCACATTGCTATCGAAATAACCAGCAATATTTCAAGAATATTTAGATTGCAAAAAAAAATAAAAACACTAGTGATTGGTATTGGTGAGAAAAATACAGATTCTTCATCGACTTTTGGCTTTATCCCTGGATTCCGAGATTTTCAGCCTTTTACTCATGAAATACTTCAAACATTTTCTCTATCTAAAAGGAAGATAAAGCAAGTATTTTCCAATGCTCCACTGAAAGGAGAAACTCCATCGCAAGCCTCGACCGCTTTTAGTTTTGGAATTTCCTTTCTGGTGGATCTCCTAGTAAACCTTGTTTTCTAGAGCTAATGTCAAAGGGCTTTGTGTTTATTTCCACCGCAACGATAGTCGAGCTTGCACTGGAAAGCCGCTGTAAGGTGCACGAAGATATGCACTCACATGTTTCCACCCAGTTTCAATGACTACTGCTGTAGAGGAGAAAAAAATATAAGACAAAAATTGGAATTTAATTAAGTTCATTCAACCGAAGGCAAGGTTCCTCACTTCATATTCGCGATTGAGATTGGAATAACCGAATACCAGAAAAAATTATCTCTTGCAATGGAAACCTCAAAATGGTCTTCGTTACTTTCTCAATTCAAGAGAGAATATTATTTTATGAATTGCTCAGCTGAATTACCACCAACGTACATATAATTAAAAATTTTTTCATAATGTTAACTGTTAATTCTGAATGCAACAGCTTATTTGGCAGAAAATGGCTCGACTGTATTTTATTTAGACATGACAATTTGGGGGCTTGACTAGTTTATATTAATTGTGAATGATGCATGGGGTATTCTCGCAGTGTTTCGATTTCACTACCTGTGACAGTGTTTCATTCATTGTTTATGTATATTGATTTATACCAATATAAATGTGCCTCGTCAATCGTGTCGTGTGTATCATAAAAAAAAATGGAAAAACTGCATTCGGACAAGAAGAAGCTTCAATTTTTTTTTCTCCACGTCATACACAAATTCCAAAAGACTACCACAAAACATTCCTCTTGCTTGGTCGTATCTCCTCTCTTGCATACATCTCCATCGTCATTTTTTGCAATTTATTTTCCTCGGGTATTGTGATTTCTGCACAGAAGACACTTATGATCTGTGGTGGGAAGAGCCCGAATACATTTTCCACTCGACATTCAACATTCTTTTGAGAACAAAAACACACACATTTATTTTGGCACGAGTTGCATGCGACATACCGGGGTAAAAATACCAACCGAAAAAATATTCACATTTTCATTTACCAACATTTTACCACAATGCATGAAACATAATTTATTTCAAGCGTAAATATATATTTTTTCGCGATACCATCTTCTGCACTACACCGCTCAAATTGTCCATGATGTTTTCCTGCTTTCATCCAATCACGATGCATAAAGTGATGCATAATGCATCATTGTAATGAGAAAAAATGAAGGAAATTTACCAGAGTATATTTTAAAGAGAATCAATGTTGAACAGACTAATCTCATCACGTGCAACACGTTGCGTTCCAGATTCGCGTAGTGAACGCATTTCGGCAGGGCCTAGACACGCGTTATGGTGAACACAGCGGTTTGACCCTAGCAGAGGTATTACGGAAGCAGTCATCGCTGAGCAAGCGACATTCACAAACAAGCAGTATCGACTATGCGGACAACATACCCGATGAACTCAACGTACCTGAAATTGATGTTGAGCGTCTCTCCAGTCACAGTCACACAGAGACCGCAGTCTAATGAGTTTAAAAACTTGAAAAAAAAAAATTAATAAGCCAATTTGTTAATACTAGACTGACATAATCAACAGGAAGCTGCCTGGCAACGTCATGACACCGATGAACTACGAGAAACGCGTGAATAATGAACTAGAAGATTTAAAAACAATATTCAAGTCATCTACGCACTGTTCACGGCGAGCCAGTGATAACAGCTCCGTACAATCTTTTGTTTGTCTGGTTTTTGTTTTTTTAATCAACAATGAGTGAAAATTTTTACAACTCAAGTGCAGGTGGGGGATGAAATAGTTCTCGGATGGCTCAACGGCCTCGCTTACTATGTGCGCGTATGTTTTTAAAAAGCTCATAATTTGAATGCTGTTTATTTATTTGGGGGAGGAAACTCCCTGGAGACGTCTCCTCATCGGGTGTGCGCGAATAATAACGGATGTTGAGACTCAATGTGCGGTGGTCGATTGACAAAACAAGGATAAAATGAAAAACCGAAAAAACAAATATATTCAAGATAAACAATTCAATTTTTTCCATATCTGTCTCTCTTTCTTCATACGATTTGACTAAGGAAAATAATTCAACGGAAAGGAGAGCGATATATATTAATTGCCAGAGGAAAGGGAAAGGGAGGCGGAACATACAAAAATATAAACCGGACTCACTCTACACAAAAATCATTTGATAGAATTCAATTCACGTGTTCAATTCGCTCGTTGTTCATGCGCTTTGCGCTCAAAATGTGCATTTGCCATGGGAGAAGTTTTATGTACGGGAATATTGCATTGTGTGCCCATGTGTGCTTTGTTTTATGTGCACACCGAGAAAATCGTTTGTTAACGAGCGAGTGTCGCACCGAACAAAAAAAAAACTAGAAAATACCGAAATAACGCACCACTGCCTTCTCAATTTCATCGTAACGGTCTATTGTTTGCCATCCTCTTGTTTTTTTTTCTTCTGTTTGTCTCTGTGTGTATCTGTAATCAATGAACTCAAATCTCGCGTGTTTAATCAATTTTAGTTTCTTCGTTTTTTCACTGATTGTTGATGCACCTGTCATCATTGAATTTTTAATTCCAATTAATCGCACTGCAATATTCATTTGTTTTTGCTCATTAGATTTATGTTTTTAAATATTGGCGATTTTTCAATCGTCGCTGTACTTTGGCAAATGTTGTATAGATGTATTATATTGCGGAATTATTCACACGTGCACCGAGGTATATGGGTATTTTCAAGTGAGCCTCGTTTTCTCATGACATTTTTCTCAATTTTCATATTGATGTAAATATGGTGGTTGAAAATTATGGGATGGAATTATTTAGATATATGTACTGTGAAGGATGATTTCTATTCGGAGACGTGATGACGTGCAACTGATGTCAATTGAATCAAGTTTTCCAGATGTGTGACATGTATGAATTCGATTGAATTTTAAAATTTCTTCATCCACACGTTGAAAGCTGCTGCGGTAAACTAGTTATTTTTTTAAAAACAGATTTAGGATGATCTATCTTCTGTCGGTCCAATGAAATCCACAACTTTTCATGTCATCATGTTTTCCAACAGCTCCAGCTGTTTTCAACCTAACTAAAATATTCTTTCTATGTTTAAATTCTCAAGTGAGTTTATTCGTCATCTTTTTGCAATTCATATACTCCGTGATATTGATGCGAGAAGAAAGCTGCCAAGAGGCTCACGTGAAAAAAAAATCCCAGGGTGTTAAAATTTATCAGGAACTGCCACGCGTCGCCACGCGCGTCACCTGCCGCTGCAATGAGATCAATTTAAAAGAAATTCTCTTTCTCTTTCGCTCTCGCTTTAATTATATATTAACCAGGAAGAATAATAGTATAAACGATACGTGATTCTTACAATGGACATTGTCTCCCCTCGGTTCCTCCGTATCCTTAAACTGACAAATAAAATTGAAACATCAACCGAAAAAAAAAAACATGATGAGAATAAAAAATACCAAAATAAATGAACTATCCACCTGCCTATCCGTCGCGCGATCGAAGCTACACCGTTACGTGACTTAAGGATTATCTAGTCATTTAGTTTGTATCAATGTACTTCCGCGAATAACTCTGCACAGGGGGTGCCTTACCGCGAATATTTAAAAAAATGTAATAAAATTGGGTACTTATAAATCGAACGTACCTCTAACTTAGCTGATGAAAAATGGACAAAAAAATAAAACAAATTGAATTTAAAACAAAAAAATAAATAAATGCAAACCATTAATCCGCTGTTGAACGAAGGTGCTCGAAGCTAAAATGATTAACGAACAAAGAATGAACTTAAACATAAACAAATGCATGAAAAAAAAAAGAAATTATTATGAATCCTTACGGCGTGTTTACTATAAATAGTACCTATATTCAATGAAATATTGTAACCACCGCCGGACCGCCGTTAAATTACGCTTAGGATAATAAATCCACACATTGTACAAGTCCAAGCGCCACGGCGACGAATAATAGGTATGATTGGTGATCTTAAGTGTTAATCATTTATGATTAGATTGTATCGAGTATCTCTAGTGTGAAGTAAAAACAAATTGAACATGAAAAAAAACTTAAATAAAATATAAGAATTAAAAAAAATGAACAATATAAGAATATAATAATTTAAAAAAAAGAACACACGAATACATGACAACTACTGTGTATGAGGTAATGCGAACAAAGGTGTAAACAAGTTACAAGTTATGTAACAGCTGCGCATGGATTACAATTATACGTGTAGATAACTACACATTTAATGATGATGGGAAAAAAAAAGAATCAAGGAGCATGCAGAAAAGACGGAGTACCTAGGCATAAAAGAAGTCCAGTGTAGGAATGAGAAAAAAAACACGAGGGTAAATGGTGAGGGATTGAGGGAGGAACGTCATGGCAGATACCTATGGGCAATGAAAACTGAAGGGAAGGCCAAAAAATATATTGGATAAATAATCACCGCGTGCTAAGCGTGCGGCTGCGGCGAGGGTGCGAGGAGGAACTAGATAACAATATTACCCATTCGGGATAAATGATTATTATAATATTGAAATCCCGAAGGAGCAGGAGAGATAACTGTAACGCGCTGCGGGCCAACAAAGGCCCCTTCATTACGGATTGTAATTTGTTTTTTTCTTTTTTTTTTCCATAAAAAATGGATAATAAGAGAACGGATTAATATTAAAATCTAGATCGCTACGCATTGCGTTTCACGTGTCATTACGAATTTTAGTGGAAAAAAAAAAAACGTCGCGTCCTCGTTGCGCCTCGCTATCTTGTTATGCGATTTAGATCGAGTTAGTTTCTCTTCTGAGGATCATGGAAATAAAAGAATAAATTAAACAATAAAAAAAATCCTAAAATAAATAATTAATGAGATAAGATGAAACTTAGGAGTTTTAACTTTTAACGATGGCCATTTTAAGGGGAGTGAGGGGTCTCTGAGAGGGGAGGATAGATGCAGGGATTACTTTAGCGGGCATGAGTCGCATCGAAGAGTTGTTTGTAATAAAAGTGAATTTAAAAAATATTCTATTTAATGGGCGTTTCTATGTCCCCCTCATGCTTCTGAGGGAGTACCTACTCAAACTGCCGGGTATGATATGCATGGGGATTACTATACTACAGTGCGTAATATAGGTAATGAATAAGTATGAAAAAAAAAAAAACTAAAGGGATGCCATTACATCATGGCTCTATCGTTCGAGTCAGACACTGTAAGTCACGTAATAGTTTTGTTTTCGAGGGAGGAACATTAACGATAATAAAAGTATGAATTTTTGGATGTAAATGAGTGGAAGTGAACGATTTAAGTGTACTATTGAATTGGCAATGCTAGATATGCTTCGTTGAGCTACCCACGTTGGACTTTTTCATGGAAGGTTCAAAAAGAAAAATGCTAAATCAACGAATTGGTGCGATCGTTTAACACTGATCGACAGATCGAGCTTCGTCCCTCTTCGCTAATTATAAATGATTATGAATGCGCAACTTGGCCTGTTATGTTTCAAGTTGGAAAGCATGAGAGAAAAATTGATTAAAGAATAATAAAAAAAAAAAAGTTTAAAAAATGGAGAACGTCCCGTTTGCGACCAGGAGTCCTACCACGGTGACATCGTTAGAAAATAACATCATGTATAGTCAAATATTGAAAATGATGAAGAAAAAAAAATGAAAGAGCCGATGCGAGCGTCATCGTTATCGTGTTATTCACTGTTATTGTTATATTTCGTATATTTAAATTATTAATACTATTAATGACATATTCATTCGTCGTTCATCGATACCATCCGCTTCCTCTTTATCTTAATCCACTCACTCCACCCCATCTTAATAATTAACGCACTCTGTATTGCGAGAGAAACAACAGGAGAAAGAAAAAAATGCATTAATGACGCTCGTATTTATTAGCGAGTCTGCTAATTAATGCATTGTCGGTCGAACGAACGAACTGTCAAACACAAAATAAACAAGATTATAAATATACATTTTAAACGATAGAGTAGAGTTTATTTATTTTTATTGTTTATGTAGCAGGAGGCAGTGGAGGGAAGAATTATCGTTTTCATGATGAATAAAATGAATAAAATCCGCCCGAGGCTGAATGTCCACTCGGTTTCTTCGTGTATAATTATTTGAGACTATGTCCATTACTTTATCTTTATATTTAATTTTGTAATTGGCCAATAAGTAATGTTTCGAAAAGGAATCCATTCGAACGATAATATAGCTAGAGTGAGCGATGCATGAAGCTTAACATGATACGGACATGCTCAGATTCAGTGCAGTTGAGATTAATTGAGCTAGGAACGAACAAGCGCACGGAGGTGATTGACAGTAAAAGTTCCAACTAACGGAAGTAAAAAAAATTATAATTCACCACTATGTGTCTTGTGACTCGGTGATCGAACTAGTAAAAAAACTTATTGTAAGTATTTATAAATATAAGTAAAAACTAATGAGATTGAGATAATTGAACAACAATGCAGATATGAATTATGAGTGAATCCAATTATTTGAATAAAAGAAGCTGTTTAACTCGCAGATCCAAGCCAATACTTGAGAACAATTGTCAAGAGAACAATAGCTCCCATTACTACCGTTAGTAATTATGACTACTTCAACCCTTCCCAGTATCTAATATCAGTAGAATCATGAATTATAAAGAAGGAAATTATCCTACCGTTGCCGCCATCAATCTCTATAATTGGAAAGTACATAATTATAATATGAGAAGAGTAGAAAAAATTTCAATTAAACATCCAGGGGAAACCATTACGATATCACTGATTACATTTATCAACGGCAGGATTACTTTTCATTATTAACAAAGAGGAAAAAAAATGACATTGAAATTTATTGCGAAAAAAGCCACTAAAAATAAATTCTTAATGTTACTATAATTATAATAAATTCTCACAATTGATAATCGTTCGATTGTCGACCCGCACTACATTCTGCACTCTCTTAAATATATCGCGCTATAGTCGAATACGCAAAAATGATGATATTAAAAGTTCAACTAGTTTCTCAGTTTTAAAACTATTTTATGTACTTAAGTACATATTGAAAATTCATCATTATACAGACTCTCAAAAGTTTATCCAAGTAATTCAATTTTGAAACTAGTTAAATTACATCCGGGTGTTTGATATTTCAAATTATTTTATGTTTCTCTTTTATCATCAAGTCCATCTCGATCCACATTTTATCCTCAAGTTTTCACACAATTTATACAATCAATTAAGCGTAAAACAGCTCTCCGTAGCCCAAGGTTTTATAGAATTCGTTCGTTCGGTCGGTTAATTAAATTTGCTTTGGCAATGACATTTCAAAAAAATAGAGTATCCTAATTAAATGAGGCGATAGTCATTGTCTGTTTTATCTGTCTCGTCGCGGTTGGGACCAAATGTCTGTTATATTTTAAGCTCCATAATTTCTGCTTTCATCCAACGACTTAATACGTTGTCCACAATCCTACTTCATTTGTCCATCTGTGGAGTGTAATCATTAGATTGCTGACAAAATCATCGACAGCAATTCACATACAATGATATCAAAATTGGAAGAAAAAAATAAAAACAAGCCGAACGCCCGACATCCTGACATCACTGATGCTTCTATCATCGAAATTGTAACACAATATTAAAAACCAAGAGATGATTATATTCAAAAGAAATATTCTATTTTCACTGCATCCCTGGCAATGTATACTTCATCCTTGTATATTTGAAACAAAATAATCTTTATCTATTAAGTAAACGTTCTTATTCGATTTACCAGAGATGACCTGTGCTAGGTATAATGCGCTCATTAACAAAACTCCAATGATACTTTTGTCACGCATTGAACAGAGTATATGTGTACATAAAATCAAACGCGTTATGATAAAGTTGATTGTTAGATAATTGGCAACCTTTGAAATGACCTTTTAAATGATATGAATGATAATTAAAGATTCAGCAGTGAAAAATTGTACATATGAAACCTTTATTGCTGTTTATACATCCGTTAACTCTTATATTTCTGGATTATAACTTCTGAAGCCGTTGGGCTTGAGACCTCTCTCGTTTTTAAATTTTTTTTACGGGTGCTGGTGTGTAACATGCCAGTCTGCATGTCTACTCGTTTGTCAACCTCTCTCTGTCTTGAGAAATTGAATTAGAGAAATTTTTTCTCAAGGCTCCCTGCAGCAGCATTGGATGTTAAAAGCTCTTGGGATAGTCTTGGTTCAAATGCATCTATGAAAGTCTACGGCACTTCACTGAATGAACCAAACACTCGATAACATATTGAATATTTAAATTTTCGCCTAAGTATTAGGTTCAAGTTTGAGATGGGAGATGTTTTTGGATAATTGATAGCAGAGAAGACGGAAACTCTGTAAAAAATTCTATTATTCAATCACTGATGCGCTTCGAATGATTTCCATTGACTGGTATCAAAGTACGAGAGCGAGACAGAAGACAGAGTTTAGAACAAAAAAATACTTGTGCATATAAACGCATTAACTTCGTTATTCAGAGTGAAATCATATTTTTTTGTCGTTACTGTTATTAATTAATATATCATAGGAATTTGACGTTTGAATGAAAATATTCAGTTATTGCAGTTAACGCTAATGTAGGAAAAAACATTAATGAAAGGATAAAATTTTTGAAAAATATAATAAACAAGCTGACACCTAAATTCTGCATAAATGTAGGTGATTTTTTTACTTTATGACTATTCTCTATTCAATTTAATTTCAAATTCAATTATTAATCTGTAATAAAGATGACTGACAGAGTGCAGCAATAAAACCATTGAAATTGGTTTTTTATATTGTCCGATCATAGGTATAGAATTTTAATATGCATCGTGGATCATATTTTTATCAATCTTTATCTGTCAATGTTATGAATAGTTTCTGTATAAAACAGCACAATATTCAACGCACGACATCATATAACATGAGCTCGATCGTTTTCATTTGAAAAGAGCTATTTGAGGAATAATATGAGAATGAAAACCGAAAAATAAAAAAATCGTGTTCAAAGGAAAAGCCGCCGCTCCTCGCATTCATTCGATAGTTCGTCGTCAAACTCTCGCGATCTTCCCAGCCATGACATTTAAAAGAAGAAAAATGCAAACACGAGACAAATGCATTTATGCATGAAACAATCCCTTCAATATTCAGATTATCCAATAACTAAAAAATCGCATAAACTTCAAAATGAAAAATGTCATTATGGAAATAAAGGGAGAATGAAAATCTGGAGAAAGTGAACTCAAATTCATTTATGCATGGAAAAAAAAATGATTGTTCCGGAATTCGCCATGGATAAACCACTTTGGGTGTTCTCTGAGATTTTTCACGTTTGCAAATAAGGTTTACATTTCCATTCTTCATTGCGTGTCGAATTCATAGAATGGAAGCGATTTATAAAATGTCGGATGGGAAAGTTTGAATAAAATAATAATTCGATGGAGTTGCGTTCATGGCTTCGTAAGTTTATCTCTCGTACGATATGTACATAAAGCACTACACCACTTATAGTTGAGAAGGATATAGATAAAAAATATGATTATGAATGGATTTCAAAAGAGAAAGCTATCTGGCTACTTTGAGAAATTCACCGGTGGGGTCGAGTGAAATGAAGTACTACAAAGTCAATTTAGCACTTTTATTCTCTTCGTGGAATCCGAAAAATTTTATTGTACTCGACTGCACGGGTTCATCGCATTTGTGTAAAAAAAAATTATGAAAATCTATGGGACTCTCCTTGAACAAAAAATGTATCGCAAACAATTTCGTAATGCCATAGATAAATTTTGACACAAACTCAACTGAGACGAATCGATGAGTGACTGTAGTGTATTTATTATAATGAGTCGAAAAAAAATCTAAAAATGCCATGCACTTGCTGAAAATAATGCACCCGAAGAGGAGAATAGTTGAGGATATTGCAGAATCCCCATAATTACTCATGTAATGAGAGTTATGATTAGAGATCTGTTGTTTTATCGTTATTTTCCGGTATCAGATAAGTTCTGACAAACTCTCCTAACAAATGTCTCTTTCGAAATTGCATAGGCATCGAGAGACACTCCCCGGAAAGAGAATAAAATGTACTTATGTATATTGGTACAGAGATACATCGCATTAGAAAAATGCTAGAAATAATGGGAAACGAATCAAGAGACAAGTTGAATGATGAGATCAACAAATGAATAGTCATCATAAACTTAAGGAATTTCACCACGTTTTAATTACACTCTGAAATACCAAGATGCCGCGTAAATTATTAATCCCAAGGATATTGAATTTTCATTAATAAAAACAAGTAAACGAAAAATTGCGTGAACGTTATGTCTACGGTGTTGCTTGTTGTTTGATAATGTACTTCGAATTCACTCGGGATTTTCTCATTAAAACAAAATACTCCAATTTTAATGTCAAAATAATGTCAAACTAATCGCCCGAATCCTGAGTGAATTGCGACTCTGAGAATTTGAGAAAGAAAAATATTAGAAGATATCACAAGTGGTTGTTACAGAACAAAAACAACCATTAATATTATACAATAATAATGAATAAAGTGATCCAACATTTTGTAGTGTCTGACATTTCTGTTATTTAATATTGTACATTGTTTATTGTACATACCACGATTGTCAAATTGTCGTTCAATGAAAGCAAATGGAGAAGAAGTAAAGAAAATGAGAAAAACTAATTAATTCGATTCACTCAAATGATCTTAATAATGATTATGTAAGTTTCGCAGAATCTGCAGCTGTAGTTATATTGAAATAACGAGATGTTCACATCTCAGTTCCATATATTTATACCTAACTTAAAAAAAAATGTTTATCCCCTGAGCTATATCTATTTCTTATCGCCATTCACTCCACTCCAGTATCTCTGTCTTGTCCATACATCCAGCGTAATGACATAAAATTAAAAAATATAAGTGAAACAAAATAATTCTCAATAAAAAAATCTTAAGTCACAGGGCTTTTCCGATCTTCCCCAAACAACTCTTACCTCTCAACGTCCTAGCTTTATCCTACACGGTTAAAAACATTAGATATGTAATACGCTGTATGATTATGTATATAAATATATAAAAACAAGCCACAACTTCAATTTATCGATAAAACTTAAATATAATATTGATATTATTACATTGACTATAAGAAAAGTTGAAAGAAATAAACAAACCTTTACGGAATATTTTGCATTCGCAGTATAATTAAAAACCAGATAATTTTCATAAAACTTTGATAGATAATAGTACTGCACCCCAAGAGAGGGATGGCGCTACACGCAATGCATGATAATCAAAGAGGTATTCACTGCAATTCGAAAATTCAAATTTTTGAAAAAATATCAGGGGAGCATGACAATCGAGGAGGTATTCACTGCAATTCGAAAATTCAAAATTTTTGAAAAAATATCAGGG